TAGCCACTCTTGCAGTTACAAAAAGGTAAAGGACCCCTGACAGTTAAGTCCAGTCGCAAACGACTCTGGGGTTACGGCGCTCATCTCACTTTACTGGCCGAGGGAGCTGGCATTTGTCCACAGACAGTTTTTCTGGATCATGTGGCCAGCATGACTAAGCCGCTTCTGGTGAAACCAGAGCAGCATGGAAATGCCGTTTACCTTCCCACCGGAGTGGTACCTATTTATCTACTTGCACTTTGACGTGTTAGGTTGGGAGCTGGGACTGAACAACAACAATGCCACTGTAGCTTCCCTGTCTGAGCGCATGTTGGGTGCTATAGAAAACCTTCATTGCGCTGATGACAGCAGTCATCGCACCAGCATTTTGCAGGAAGATCTCTTGATGTCTGCAGGCACTTCTTTTTATTAAAGATTTCTTAGTTTACAAAAGTCTCTTTTTTCAAGTTACATTTTCTACAGATCAGCTTCATTTGTTGAGACATTAGTGTTACATTAGGAAGAAAAGGGGGAAAGAGGTGGGGGGAATGGTGAGTGGGGGTGGAGTTGGGTGGCGATGGTTCTATTTTATTTAATGTATGTGTGGGGTTTTGTGTCACTGTCACTTGTGCGGGTTCTCTTTACTATTTGTTTGTGTTCCTTTGGTGGTGAGAGAGATTGCGGTTGGCCTAGGGTGTGGTTGTTTGTTTGTGACTGGCTGTGGTGAACTTTGTTTTCATGTGTGAGTGGGGTGGGAGGGTGTTTTTGAATCAGGTTAGCCGTATTGATTCGTATGCTGTTGATGGATTCTTGTCGTTGTCTTGTGGGGCTGTGTATGTGATAAAAGGGAACCATACCGGGGTGAAGGCGTCTTCTTCCATTTGTCCCTGTGTCAGTTTCAGTTTATAGGTTAGTTTTTCTAATAAGGCTGTTTCCCATACTATTTGATACCATTGGTCCAGGCTTCCTCCTGACAGGTGTCTCCAGTGTCTGGCTATGGTGTTTCTGGCTGCTGAGAGTAGGTGGGTTATGAGTTCTTTGTGATGTGAGTGGGCAAAATTATCTTGGAAGGTGTTTAATAGGGCCAGTTCTGTGGTGACTTAACTTCCCCAGAAAGGTGTCTTTCAAATTGCTTAAGGCAGTCAGAGCGCCCCTATATTTTCCTTTTAAAATTATTATTATTATTATTATTATTATTATTATTATTATTATTTATTCCCCGGCCAGAGCCAGGCTCAGGGTGGCTAACACCAGTAAAATTACAGTAAAAACATAATGGGGGGGACAATTTAAAATACAGGTTAAAATGCAATTTAAAACGCAGCCTCATTTTAAAAGTAGCCCGTAGATCAAAACCATAAGGGGAGGGAAGACATAAGGGTCAGACTGAGTCCAAACCAAAGGCCAGGTAGAACAGCTTTGTTTTGCAGGCCCTGTGGAAAGATGTCAAGTCCCGCAGGGTCCTAGTCTCTTGTGACAGAGCATTCCACCAAGTCGGGGCCAGTAGTTGAGACCACTCTAACCACCTTGCGACTTGGGACCTCCAAAATGTTGTCATTTGTGGACCTTAAGGTCCTCCGTGGGGCTTACCAGGAGAGGTGGTCCCATAGGTACGTGGGTCCTAGGCTGCTTCTTCGATTCTTGTCTTCCTTTCAGTGCAGGATTATGCACGGCCTGAGCATCAGATGGTGCTTATGTGTGCATATGTACAGGGGCATCTTGCCGATAGAGGCAAGTGGCACGGGGCGCCGGGGCACCAAGTTCTGGAGGGAACCAGGGAAGAGGCAGAGGCTGGGTGCAGTGCCTCCTGGCATCAGCTCGCTGCCCTCGCCTGCCTCCGCCATGCCGCTCCGAAGCAGCGCCGAACCCGGAGCCTCCGCCTCTTCCCTGCCAGAGGAGCCACCCTCTGCCGGCAGCGCCGTAAAAAGGTCGGCAACTCTGGGAAACAGGGTATGTGTGTGTGCCAGAAAGATCTTTGCATCATGGCGCCGGATATACTTAAGATGGCCCTGCATAATGTACCATGCGCCTGTGCTTATCTTTCAGAGTAACCTGCAATTCTCTCTCTCTCTCTCTAAATTCCTCGAGCGTTCAGCTAACCCCACTGAAATCAGGACTTCCATGTAAAAATACGGTTACGATCTAGACGCCAGAAGAACCAAGGGGTAAAGTGGATTTCTGAATTACCTTGATTGGCCACAATACCTTTTGAGACTGTGTCTAATGAACACGAGGAAGAGCATGCGACTCGTGCCTGTTTAAAAAAATAAATAAATTCCCAAATGCTCTCTGGTATTTGAGGATACTGAAAGAGAGAGAAGTGGTGTGTGTGTGTGTGTGTGTGTGTGTGTGTGTGTGTGTGTGTGTTAGAAACCCAGGTTTTTTTTGTGTGTGTGTTTTTGGAGCCAGACCAAATTTCCCTTTTGCCACTGTAACTCCAAAGCACGGCTTCAATATTTAATGAAATGCTTATGTTGCTGCACCTGGATACATTGTGAGCGCCAGGTCCCCAGTGGGTCATTACTGCAGCCATCTGAAATGGGGCAAACTGTTCATCTATGGCAGTAATGCCTGTCTTCAAGACTTGAAAGCTTACAAAACAGCAGGGAGCAAAGTTATGTTGGTTCTGATCTTGGGGAACAATTCAGCCAGGGGGCAAAAAAAGATCTTTGTTTCCTCTCGTCAGAGGTGATGTCGTTCGCCTTAATTCTGGAAGTCGGAATTTAGGGGCTGGATGCAAGCTGGCTCCCTCTGTTCCCCATCGAAACCTCCCCATTTGTGAGGCCTCTCCATCAACAACGAGAAAAAGACACCAATTCATGCTTTCCCTGCTAATGATCTGATGCGTCAATAGCTCAAAACAAGCAGATGTCCTAAGTTAATGTTAACTTCCATGGGACTTTAACTGGGGGGGGGGGGTAAACGTGGCTTTTCGGAGGCATTTGTCTTCCTTTCCTTACCAATCCCTCACTAGAGATCTGCCGAATCCCTGGCGCAGGATTCCTGGAGCACACGAGGAACCCGCAACTCTACCTCCCTCTTCCACACTCACACACACTTCCGCCCTGACTAATGGAATTTAATTACCGTAGTGGTATTAATCATCTGTACAGTAGAGCAAAGTGTATTTTATTACCACTTTTAAGGGTTATTGGCACAGTTATTTCAAATGAACTGTCAAACTGCATTACGTGTCAGGCATGCCAGCTTTGAGAGCCTGCAGAATGGGTGGAAAAAAGAGAGGGGGGAATCAGGAGAGGAGAAGCAGACCTTTTTTAAAAAAAGGGGGGTATTGAATATTTACATGCATGCAAGGATGGAGCGGGGGGGAGGTCAATGTTCCCATGAACATGGGAGACTTAGCTTTGGGGGCCCCCAGTTTGCTGAAGCAGATCAGAAGTGGTTGTTCCATATAGATGTCTCTGTGCCTAGATTTAAAGTCAGAGGGCAAAGTGGTACCATCCCATTCTGGACTGAAGCCTACTTTAAAACCAAAGGTTGGAGAATCGAGGCAGGAAAATGGAACTTCTCTGGCACTGCTACAGACACCACATAATATACATTTCACATCTGTAAGAAACACACCTTTCAGCATGGCACCACCTATACTTTGGACTTGGGAGAAAGGCGATGGCAAACCTAGACAGCATCTTAAAAAGCAGAGACATCACCTTGCCAACAAAGGTCTGTATAGCTAAACCTATGGTTTTCCCAGTAGTGATGTATGGAGGTGAGAGCTGGACCGTAAAGAAGGCTGATCACCGAAGAATTGATGCTTTTGAATTATGGTGCGAGAGGAGACTCTTGAGAGTCCCATGGACTGCAAGAAGATCAAACGCATCCATTCTGAAGGAAACCAGCCCTGAGTGCTCACTGGAAGGACAGATCATAAAGCTGAGGCTCCAATACTTTGGCCACCTCATGAGAAGAGAAGACTCCCTGGAAAAGACCCTGATGTTGGGAAAGATGGAGGGCACAAGGAGAAGGGGACGACAGAGGACGAGATGGTTGGACAGTGTTACCAGCATGAGTTTGCTACCAGCATGAGTTTGACCAAACTGCGGGAGGCAGTGGAAGACAGAAGTGCCTGGCGTGCTTTGGTCCATGGGGTCACGAAGAGTCGGACACGACTAAACGACTAAACAACAACATACTTTGGAACTCCCTGCCTCTTGATTTCAGGCACGAAACTTCACTGCGCTCTCTTTGGTTTCTGCCATACGCAGTTTTGTTCAGACGAGCCTACCCAGATATTTAGAGTGTTTTCAGTTATAGGCTGGAAGCCACCCAGAGTGGTGGGGGCAACCCAGTCAGATGGGCAGGGTACAAATAATAAAATGATGATGATTATGGTGATGATGATTTACTGCTAGTTTTAATTTTCTGGATGCTTTACTTGTTTTTGCTAATAATTTTATTATTTATTATTTCCGTAAACTGCTTTGAAGTGGTTGAGGTTGTTGGTTTTTTTTACAATCAAGTGGCATATAAATTTTGTGAAATAAATAAATAACATAAATTATCCCTCCATGAATTCCTCTCAATCCTTTTTTAAAAAAATCCATGGTGATTATCAGGCCTTGTGGAAGTCGGCTCCATGGTTGAACAATGTGGTGTGCAAAGTAAGGTAAAAAGTAAAGGTAAAGGACCCCTGGACGGTTAAGTTCAATCAAAGGTGACTATGGGGTTGCGGCGCTTATCTCACTTTCAGGCTGAGGGAGCCGGCGTTTGTCCGCAGACAGCTTTCTGGGTTATGTGGCCAGCATGACTAAACCACTTCTGGCACAACAGAACACCATGACGGAAACCAGAGTACACGGAAACGTGGTTTACCTCCTACCGCAGAGGTACCTATTTATCTACTTGCACTTTGATGTGCTTTCGAACTGCTAGGTTGGCAGGAGCTGGGACAGAGCAACGGGCGCTCACCCCATTGCGGGGATTCGAAACGGTGACCTTCTGACTGGCAATCTCCAGAGGCTCAGTGGTTTAGACTGAGTGGTTTAGTGGTTTAGTATTTCCTCTTGTCTGTCCTGAACTTCCCATCATTCAGTGTCATCAGATGGCCCTGGGTCCTAGCATTATGACAGAGGGGCAAAAATGAATAGGAATGAAAAGAAACTTATTTTCTGCCCTAAAGCTGCACAGAATCTCCCTTTCTCTTCCTCTCTCAAAAGTGAGCATTCCTTTCTTTCGGTTCCTTTCATGCAGCAACCGCAGCAAGGTGTACGTTGCATGTTGCATTCAGATTAAACTCTTTTCGGGCCACAAAGAGCATCAGGTTGTTTCTTGTATCTCAATGTGCACTCGAGGCATTTATCTCCCCATAACACATGCTTTCCTGTGTCTGGTTATCAGAAAGCGACCTTTTCTTTAAAAAAAGCAAAGCAAAACAAACTTGCATCCGTCTCACCTCGCTGGGTCACCCCCAGCCACACATCCTGCAAGCTGGAAGTATGGGGTGGGTACATCTTTTGTGCGAGAGGTGATGGGGGAGGGGGGAATCCACCTGGAATCTGTGCACCTATGGTGGGACCAGAATTAATAAGAATAAGAATAATAAATAGGACAGGTCAAAACCAAAATGCTTTGCTGCTGGAGACAGGGGAGAAATTCGGCTCAGTTTGAACTGGTGACCCTCGGATGAAGGGCAGTATAGAAATTTAAAGATAATTAAATTAAATGATTTTAACGCAAACCTACCCAATTTGTACAGTGGTACCTTGGGTTAAGTACTTAATTCGTTTTGGAGGTCCGTACTTAACCCGAAACTGTTCTTAACCTGAAGCACCACTTTAGCTAATGGGGCCTCCTGCTGCTGCCGTGCCACCGGAGTAAGATTTCTGTTCTCATCCTGAAGCAAAGTTCTTAACCCGAGGTACTATTTCTGGGTTAGCGGAATCTGTAACCTGAAGCGTATTTAACCTGAAGCGTATGTAACCCGAGGTACTATTTCTGGGTTAGCTGAGTCTGTAACCTGAAGCGTATGTAACCTGAAGCGTATGTAACCCGAGGTACCATTCTACTTTCTGAACCAATATTTTAACCTAAATGCAGTCGCCCTTTGAAATCCAGACTTCTCCAAATGCCGCTATGTGGGTGTCCAAACAAGTAATGTGTACATCGATGTGTATATTTGGCGGAAAATACACACGCTAGTGAAAATAGCATGGAAAATGCATCATATTGGGGGGAATTGCTTGCAGAAATGGGGGGGGGGAGTACAGTTGTACCTTGGTTCTCACATGCCTTGGTACTCAAACGCCTTGGTTCCCAAATGCTGAAAACTCCAAAGTAAGTGTTCCGGTTTTCAAACGTTTTTCAGAAGCCAAATGTCCGATGAGGCTGTCAGCTATTCTTCCCAGGGCACCTGCCCCAATCAGAAGCTGCGCCTTGGTTTTCGAACATTTCAGAAGTCAAACGGACTTCTGGAACGGATTAAGTTAGGTGATTTTGTTTTTGCTATTTATTTTGTGTTTTCGTTTTTGAGGCTTTTTCAGTTAATTTGTTTTTGTGACTGTGTGGAGCCCAGTTCAGCTACTGATTGATTGATTGTGTGCCTGTGGAAATGGATAAAAGCCACCGCCCACCAAACCATGACTATCATCAGTGCGGGTAAGAAAAAAATGATTTTAATTTTTATCATCTACAATACTGTCTAATTTATTTTATAGTACAGTACATTGATCATTGCTTTCATTTTATGGACCAATGGTCTCGTTAGATAGTAAAATTCGTGTTAAATTGCTGTTTTAGGGGTTGTTTTAAAAAGTCTGGAACGGATTAATCCGTTTTGCATTACTTTCTATGGGAAAGCACGCCTTGGTTTTGGAACGCTTTGGTTTTGGAACAGACTTCCGGAATGAATTCAGTTTGAGAGCCAAGGTACCTGTCAATGCTGTTGCGTTGAGAGTAACCAGGCAGGACTCTGACCTGTCTTTTACAGGCTTTATTTTGGTGCAAACTATTTACAGTGAAGAGCGTCATAAGTTCATGTCTGGCTCAGTCACTAGCAGAATCTGGGAGTGATCTGTTTTTGTACCTCCCCCAACATAAAAGTTTCATCCCCGCAAGCCTTTTCGGCCCCTCCCTGCACCTCAAACTACTGCGCATGATGGGCGATGGCAAGGGTGCGCTTCCCTCCTCTCCAGCTTGCTCAGGCGCAGTGTTAAGGCTCTCTCTAGCATCCTCTGGTCCTTGCACCTCTTCACCACTGGAGGTTGGGCTTTCCTCCTCGCCGGAAGAGGAACTGCTTTGCAAGATTTTCAGAGGCTCCCTGTAACACAACTCCCCCTCTATCTCTCGCCTCTGAGCCGATGGCAGTTCCCTAACAGTACCACTGTATGCAAAAATGTGTAATGGAAAATTCGCAATACAATGCAGGTGAATTTTCATTCATAAGCCCTAAAGGTCCTCGGTCCAGTATACCTGAAGGAGCGTCTCCACCCCCATTGTTCTGCCCAGACACTGAGGTCCAGCACCGAGGGCCTTCTGGCAGTTCCCTCCTTGCGAGAAGCCAAGTTACAGGGAACCAGGCAGAGGGCCTTCTCGGTAGTGGCACCCGCCCTGTGGAACGCCCTCCCACCAGATGTCAAAGAGAAAAATAACAACCAAACTTTTAGAAGACATCTGAAGGCAGCCCTCTTTAGGGAAGCTTTTAATGTTTAATAGGTTATTGTATTTTAGTGTTTTGTTGGAAGCCGCCCAGAGTGGCTGGGGAAACCCAGCCAGATGGGCGGGGTATAAATAATAAATTATTATTATTTTTATCATCATCATCATAGACTTGTAGAGTCAGACCATCTAGACTCGGAGCTCTCCCAGTCCTACATGAAGATGGTGGGGATCGAACCTGGAAACTTCTGCATGCAAGGCAGCTGATCTAACCCTTCCCCAGTCTATGGGAAGCTGTAGCTCTTTGCATAGAAAAAAAATGGGATAGGATGTCACTCACTTTACACCTGGCACTGCAGACGCCAACACTTCGTTTTCTTTGCTTCTTTTCATTTCTGTTATTATGAATGTAGCCTGCCATGATTACACTATTTGTTGCCATGGTTAGTTTAGTATAGGATTTTTATTTTTAATTTGAAGTTTATGGCATTTCTCTCCCCACCAGATCTCCCTACATCCCCTTGTATTTGGAGAATCCATGTTTGCTGGGAGAGGGGGGGCTGGGGAAGAGAGAGGGGAAGTTCAGTTTCATTCCACTATTGATCTGTCAGACAAGAACCTAATCAATCTTCTTTATAAGCTATTAAAGCAGAGCAAGAGAAATGAACTCACCTGATACATTCAACATTGATTGCTTCTTTCGAAGAACCGAATGTCAGTCTTATCTGCTACTACAGCTGCGATCCAATTTTTCAGAAACAAGTTTTTCCTCTTGTTAGTTTCCCAAGAAATAAAAGGGAGGGTTTTTATGCTCCCCCAACCCCACCCCATCACGATCTTTGTTTTAGCCCATCATGACCATCATCAAGATTCAATAGGGCTCATTATCTTCTGGATTTTATTAGCTACAATGGTGGGATGGTTATGAGCTACTGAGATGCTCTCCCCCCCACAGAAAAAACCCCACAATACCTTCCCTAGCCCCAACACCACCAAGAACAATGGTGACCATTGTGACACCTTCTGGGTGCTAAGGTAAAGGTAAAGGGACCCCTGACCATTAGGTCCAGTCGCGGACAACTCTAGGGTTGCGGTGCTCATCTCGCTTTATTGGCCGAGGGAGCCGATGTACAGCTTCCGGGTCATGTGGCCTGCATGACTAAGCTGCTTCTGGTGAACCAGAGCAGCACATGGAAACGCCTTTTACCTTCCCGCTGGAGCGGTACCTATTTATCTACTTGCACTTTGACGTGCTTTCGAACTGCTAGGTGGGCAGGAGCAGGGACCGAACAATGGGAGCTCACCCCGTTGCAGGGATTCAAACTGCCGACCTTCTGATCAGCAAGTCCTAAGCTCTGTGGTTTAATAAGAACATATAAGAAGAGATGGCTGGATCAGGCCAATGGCCCATCTAGTCAAGCATCCTGTTTTGACAGCGGCCAAGAAGATACCTGGGGGAAACCTGCAAGCAGGATTCTAACACAAGGGCCTTCTCCCCTTCTGCAGTTTCCAGCAAATGGGATTCAGAAGCCTCCAAGCAAGGAGGCAGCTCATAGTCATCACGGCATGATAGTTATATCCTTCATGAGTTTGTCCAATCCTCATTTAAAGGTCCAAGTGGTTCCCCCAACCCTCCAGAGCAGATTTGGGGAGGGTGTATCCTTGCACTAACAGGACTTATTCCTAATATTTAGTCAGAAACTCCTTTCTTGCAATAGAAATACAAGAAAGGGAATTTTGGCTAAACATTAGGAAGAACTTTCTGATGGTAACTTCTGTTCAGCGGTAGAACAGACTCCCTCAGAATGTGGTGGATTCTCCTTCACCTCTTGGACTACTGCAATGTGCTCTCCGTGGGGCTACCTTTGAAGGTGACCTGGAAACTACAACTAATCCAGAATGCGGCAGCTAGACTGGTGACTGGGAGCAGCCACCAAGACCACAAAGTACCGGTCTTGAAAGACATATATTGGCTCCCAGTACATTTCCAAGCACAATTCAAAGTGTTGATGCTGACCTTTAAAGCCCTAAACAGCCTCAGACCAGTATACCTGAAGGAGCGTCTCCACCCCCATCGTTCTGCCCGGACGCTGAGGTCCATCGCCAGGGGCCTTCTGGTGGTTCCCTCACTGCGAGAAGCAAAGCTACAGGGAACCAGGCAGAGGGCCTTCTTCTTTTTTTAAAATAATTTTTATTAACCGGCCAATCAAATCAAATCACATCACATAAATTCCGAATTACAAAGCCGAATTTTAAATTTTGTTGAGGGGACCCATATTTCAAGATCCGAAGGGGGATTCTGATCATCTTCTTGCTACTGCGTTAATGTCCAAATCAGTCCAAACAAAGTTCATAATTCTATCCAGTCTTATCTTGCTGTTTCCACATCACATTTTGTTCATATATTTTCTCTTTTTTCTTTATGATCTCTTCTGATAGTCTCCTTAAGCCGATAAACACCAATAATAATCCTGTGCGAATTTTCCCGTTCTTCCAATCCTCAAATCGAGATGGTTTCCATATATCATCGCCTTCATAGATAACATCGCTCTTTCCATCATTAATTACAGAACTGTTGTTCTTAAGTCCCTCTGAGGAGTTTCACCCACAATATAAAAACAGCTCTATTTCTCTATTTCTTCTCCCAAACTTAAGTCCTCCAACAGAACTTCCCAATATGGCGACGGTATTTTTAACTGTGTCATTCCAAAGCCCTTATACATTCCACGCTCTTCTTAAAACATGCTTTGGTTCGAAAGTTTATCTCCACACAGCCTTAAATCCACAGCTTAAGTCCTTAAAACGACATTTCTGACTTGTGGGGGGGGGGATACTTGTTTAATCACATAAAGGAAAGAAAGGAAAGTTTTTCCCCCCTCCCCCATCAGTCCCTTTGCCATACCGAGTCTTGGCGTATCTTCTCATGATTTATACTTGTTCCTCCGACTCGTCTTGTTTTATCAGAGATCTCTTCTGTTAGCAGTCTTTACCCCGCTCCTTCCTTGAAATATGTGCATTCGCTTCATCCAAATTGTTTCTTTTGAAGTTCTTGCAGCTAGTGGCGCGGATCAGAGACGGCGTCCAGGAGCGCCGAAATCCCACAGGAGGGCATTGTGCCTAGTGCCCCCATCCCCACAAATTCGGGGGTGGTATAGGGCACAGCAGGCAAGGGCAGTCCCCCCCCCCACAATCCTGGGGGGGGTAGGGAGGCTATTTACTCCCATCACAGCCTCCAAATTACCTCATGTGGGTCGGAGAGATGTTATTGTCAGCCATCTTCTGATGCGCCCCTAGTGGCCCCTCTGGCAGAGGGCCTTCTTGGTAGTGGCTCCTGCCCTGTGGAATGCCCTCCCATCAGATGTCAAAGAGATAAACAACTACCTGACATTTAGAAGACATCTGAAGGCAGCCCTGTTCAGGGAAGTTTTAATGCGTGACAATTCAATGTATTTTTAATCTTCATTGGAAGCCGCCCAGAGTGGCTGGGGAGACCCAGCCAGATGGGCGGGGTACAAATAAATTATTATTATTATTATTATTAAAGCCATCCAAGTGGGTGGCCATCACTGCCTCGAGGTGAGCAGGGGAGTTCCATAGTTAGACTAGGCACTGCGTTAATAAATATTTTCTTCTCCCTGTCCTGAAATCTTCCAACGTTCATCTTCGTTGGATGTCTATGCATGAGAGAGAGGCAGGGAAAAAAACTTTTTTCCATCCACTTGCTCCATAACCCTCTTTTAAAGCCGCACAAGGTTCTGGTCACCACTAAATACTGAGAAAAGCCAGGGAGCTTCTGCCAGTCTGAGTCTGTTCTACAGATAAATCCTAAATGTTTTTGGTTTGTGTGTGCATGCCAAATTATGGATCTCCTGCCGCTTCCAGGAGCAGCTGGGAAGAGAGAAGAGGAGTTCAGGGATATATATATATAAAATAATTTTATAAATTGTGTGTCTTTGCTTCTCAGTTTGTATTGTGTTGTTTTATGCGCTGCGACCTGCTGTTATTTTTTATGGATTATAGTTCAGCAATTATTTAAGAGTGAGTTTCTGTTTAATTATTATCTGCTGATATTTAATTTCATTGTGTGCTATTATATTCTAATGGGTTGTTGAATATTACTTAATGAGGTAGAAGTTGTTTATTTCAAAGTTATGCTTCAATTATGTCATTTTTGTACTGAATCCGATTGCTATAGGGCGAACGGTCTTGTGTACAGCAATATAGAAAGGCGGTATACAAATTATAAATGCAATGAAATGAAATCCCGAGGCAAGAGGAAGTGGGCAGACTTACTTATTTATTTATAGATATATTTTAACACACACACACACCTTTGGTTGCAATGAGAGAGAGGAATATTTAGGCCAGCTCCACCTGCCATAGAGGGAGTCTCAATCCTGCAGTATCTCCAGAGAGCTTCACCTCCACCCTCTAATGCCCCCATTTCAGGATTTAAAGCTGGCTATTTCCTGCCAGAATTCCACCAGTGGTAGATCCATGCGGGTGGAGGTTTCTAAAGACATAATGGAGTGGCACCTCTGCCCAGTCATAACCATCTCCAAACAGATCCAGGCATCAGGATTGCCCTGCAAGACAACCAAAAAGTCTGAATGGTTGGCAAATCTCCAGGACCGGATGGGCTGACTTCCAGATACTATAGATCTTTGAAAGAGTGGTTACTGCAACCTTTGAAGGAAGTCTGCAATGAAATACTGGAGGGGAAAAGGGCACCAGAATCGTGGAAAGAGGCGTACATCACACTTATACCGAAAACAGAGACTGAAAAGACTCAGCTTAAGAACTATCGCCCTATATCGTTACTTAATGTGGATTACAAAATTTTTGCAGACATTTTGGCCAAGAGATTGAAAAAATATTGATGAAAGAGATTCATAAAGATCAAGCGGGCTTTCTCCCGGGAAGACACCTGTCTGATAATTTGAGGAATATAATTGATATTTTGGAAAAATTAGAAGTGAATATAAACACCAAAGCAGTATTGATATTTGTTGACGCGGAGAAAGCTTTTGATAATATCTCTTGGAGTTTTATGAAGAAGAATCTGCATGGGATGGGGGTAGGCCAAGGTTTTGAAAATGGTATAGGTGCAATATACTCTGAACAAAAGGCTAAATTAATTGTAAATAATGTGGTGACGGAAGAATTTAAGATAGAAAAGGGACACGACAGGGGTGCCCAATTTCCCCACTGCTTTTTATATCGGTCCTGGAGGTTTTGCTAAATATGATTAGAAAGGACCGGTTGGTTAAGGGCATACAGGTCGGAGCTAAACAGTACAAATTGAGAGCATTTGCAGATGACCTAGTATTGACGTTACAGGAGCCAGAATCTAGTACCAAAAGAGTTTTAGAATTAATTCAGGAATTTGGTCAGGTGGCAGGTTTTAAATTGAACAAGTTAAAAACTAAGGTTTTAGAGAAAAACTTAACACCGATTGAAAGAGAGAGGTTCCAGAATGAGACAGGATTGAATGTGGTAAAGAAAGTGAAATACTTGGGGATTAATATGACAGCCAAAAATGGGAACTTATTTAAAGATAATTACGAAAAATGTTGGACGGAAGTGAAAAAGATTTAGAAATTTGGTCAAATTTGAAACTCGTTGCTGGGCCGTATTGCTGTGATAAAGATGAATGTATTGCCTAGAATGTTGTTTTTGTTTCAGACATTACAAATTGTAGATAAGATGGACTGTTTCAAGAAGTGGCAGAGAGATATTTCTAGATTTGTCTGGCAGGGCAAGAAGCCCAGAATAAAATTTAAGATATTAACTGACGCCAAGGAAAGAGGTGGATTTGCCCTGCCAGACCTTAAACTTTATTATGAATCAGCAGCTTTCTGCTGGCTGAAAGAATGGCTACTTCTTGAAAATACAGACATTTTGGATTTAGAAGGTTTTAACAATGTATTTGGATGGCATGCATACTTATGGTATGATAAGGTCAAAGCACACAAAGCATTTAAAAATCATACTGTTAGGAAAGCATTGTTTAATGTCTGGATAAGATACAAAGACTTATTGGAAAATAAAACCCCAAGGTGGCTGTCACCAATGGAAGCAAAAGCTCTGAAAAGGCTCAGTATGGAGGCCAAATGGCCGACATATTGGGAAATTTTGGAGCAAGAAGGAGATAAATTGAGACTGCAGAGTTTTGAAAAATTAAAAAATAAAGTGAGAGATTGGCTCCACTACTATCAGATAATGGAGGCATATAATTTGGATAAGAAAAGAGGCTTCCAAGTGGAAAAGTCAAAATTAGAAACAGAATTGTTAGAACCCAAAACTAAAAATTTGTCAAGAATGTATAACTTGCTGTTGAAATGGAATACTCAGGATGAAACGGTGAAATCTGCTATGATTAAATGGGCACAAGATGTTGGACATAATATTATGTTCGCTGACTGGGAACAGTTATGGACCACAGGTATGAGGTTTACGGCATGTAATGCCTTAAGAGAGAATATTATGAAAATGATATACAGGTGGTACATGACCCCAGTCAAGCTTGCAAAAATTTATCATTTGCCCGATAATAAATGTTGGAAATGTAAAGAAACTGAAGGTACATTCTTTCACCTTTGGTGGACGTGCCCAAAGATTAAGGCTTTCTGGGAAATGATATATAATGAACTGAAAAAGGTATTTAAATATACCTTTCTGAAGAAACCAGAGGCCTTTCTCTTGGGCATTGTCGGCCAACTGGTGCCAAAGAAGGACAGAACCTTTTTCATGTATGCTACAACAGCAGCAAGAATACTTATCGCAAAGTATTGGAAGACACAAGATCTACCCACTTTGGAAGAATGGCAGATGAAGGTGATTGACTACATGGAATTGGCGGAAATGACTGGCAGAATCCGAGACCAGGGAGAAGAGTCGGTGAAAGAAGACTGGAAAAAATTTAAGGACTATTTACAGAAATATTGTAAAATTAAGGAACTTTAGAAGGATGCTGGATAGAAATTAAGAGGTTTTTAGCTGTAATGCTTTAAGAGACATGAAAAAAAAAAGGTTAACAATTGGGTAAAAGATTAATGGTAAGGATTTGCTGAACCAACAAACTGAATTGGAATACAAAGAAGGGAGGTATGAGGAGGTCTGGGGAAATAAGAGTAAGGAAGATAGGTTATGGAACATTAGTGTGTTTTTAACTGTTTTATTTTGTATGTTTTTTCTTACTTCTTGCTTTTTTGCTGTAATTTATACTTTTTTCTTTGTTTTCTGTATTTTTGTGAAACTTTAATAAATATCATTTAAAGAAAACAACAAAAAGTCTGAATGGTTATAAGATAGCTCCATGGAGAAAGCTATCAATGGCTACTAGCCATGAAGGCCACACTCTGCATCCACAATTGGAGGGGGGCAATGCCTGTTGATGGAAACCATAGGAGGGGAGAGAAGAAGAGGAGGAGGAGGAAGAGTTTGGATTTGATATCCTGCTTTATCACTACCCGAAGGAGTCTCAAAGCGGCTCACAATCTCCTTTTCCTTCCTCCCCCACAACAAACACTCAGTGAGGTGAGTGAGGCTGAGAGACTTCAGAGAAGTGTGACTAGCCCAAGGTCACCGAGCAGCTGCATGTGGAGGAGCGGAGACACGAACCCAGTTCACCAGATTACGAGTCTACTGCTCTTAACCACTACACCATTCTTCTGCTTGAATCCTTCTTGCGGGTTTCCCAAATGCATCTGAGAGGAGGATGCTGGACAAGATGGGGCATTGGCCTGATCCAGTAATCTCTTTTTGTGGCCTTACTTTCCTGTTAACTATTAGAATGCACTATAATAGTATATTTTTAAAAAAGGACCCCTGGGTGGTTAAGTCCAGTCAAAGGCGACAATGGGGTTGTGGTGCTCATCTAGCTTTCAGGCCAAGGGAGCCGGCATTTGTCCACAGACAGCTATCTGCATCATGTGGCCAGCGTGACTCAACCACTTCTGGCGCAACGGAAGCCAGAGCGCACGGAAACGCCATTTACCTTCCTGCCATAGTGATACCTATTTATCTACTTGCACTGGTGTGCTTTCAAACTGCTAGATTGGCAGGAGCTGGGACAGAGCACTCCATCACGGGGATTTGAATGGCTGACCTTCCGATCAGCAAGCCCAAGAGGCTCAGCGGTTTAGACCACAGTGCCATGTGTGTCCTCACTATGTTAATATACGCCATACATGGCCATTGAGCTTTGTTGGCAACAGACAGACAAGTTGTGGAATTACTGTAAAAGAAAAGAAAGGATATTATACACACACACACACATATGGAGCATCTGGGGGGAACGGAGTCCTTGGGTGCAATTCCAACTCAGCGCTCCTTTTCAGAAGCTTCACTAATGCAGGATAGGAAAGGATTATATTCAACCATATCATGGAGCCAAATAGTGAGATTGCAGTGGAGTTCCCGCTGAGCTTGTTTTATTTTCCTTAATACTAAATTGATTCCTGGAATATTAACTGTGCACACTTTCTCAGAAAACCCATCCATTTGCAATACGTGGATATAATTTCCCCCAGGAAGATATGATGGTGCATTCAAGCTTATGTTTATTTATTGCACACACACACACACACACACACAGACACACACACTGTGCAAAAAAAGGGGGGGCAGGGACTCTTCTAAGAGAATGTTTCAGTCAAATTAAATTAATTTCTAATTAATTTTCACTGCCATTTCCGAGAGGAAACCTTTCATCAGCGTCATTTAGGTTTTGAAAATTACAATATTAACTAATAGTAATTAAATAATAATTTATTAATTTCAATCGTTTTAATTATCTCCTCTGATTAAATTACCTGTAAATCAGTTCCACACTGCTTTTGTTATTAATTAGTTAATTTAAGAGTGAACTGCAAAAAAGAAAAGAAAAGGAAGAAAACAAGACTCTCGGGGATTCGTTTATGTTTTGTCTAAACAGGTCAGTGGGAACTATTTCAGAACA